CTCTCCTCCGGTCATCGCTGGCAATGTCGCCGGACCTTTCAGGCAAGACGACCCTCGAGTTCTAGGACAAAGGAAAAGGTAGGGCCATTTCTGTTGACCTGGAGCTGGAAGTCGGAGGGAGCAACAATAGGAAGTCCCCCATGATTTTGGGACACTCCTCCCAACCTCTGAAGTCGGCGATGAAGGGTCGCAAGCGTGTCAAGTCAAAGCCATTTAGTGGAGTCGGAAGATGATGAAGACTCAATTGTTCAGGTATGTGTTCTGGCTCATTTGTGTCATGCTCTCAATTTGTTGCAGCCAATTTCATATGGAGTGCTAGAGGTGGTCCTTCCCCAGCTCTCCACCATTGTGGTAAGGATGCCCCAGTTGCCTCGGTCACCTGGTTCCCCCAAGAAGCAATCATTTGGGCCGGCTTCGGTAAGTCTGATTTAGTTGTCCGGAACTCAAATATATGCTCGAGTGTCCACAGCTGACTGCTGGCAGGCAGTCCGGAGGTTATGGTGAGTCTTCCAGACAGGTCCAGAACTCACATGTATCATTCTTACTCATGCCCATTGCATTAGAAATCTCCCATCAGTCATCCGGAGGCTCCGGTAAGTCTTAGCAGTTGGCCCGGAACTCACATCTGTACTTACAACTTATCAGGCCACCTCTGGCAGTCGTCCAGAAGTTGTTGAGCCATCTGACGATACTTCCAGCACTTCAGATGGTGACCCTCCGGCCAATACCACATTTGATATCACCATTCCCAGCCCAGTGAGTACTCCAATTAATTCCCTTTAGTTCATCTACTAATGGATATCACAGAACAACCCCTGCCATTATTGTGTCAAGGAGAATTGGCTCTGTGCGACTCGTTTGGACAAAAGGACCAGTCTCCCCTGCTTGTCTTGCATCCACTGCTCCACCAAGAAGATCAAATGCAACCCTGCATCTCTGGGATCCCCACCCAAACAGATTTGAGGGAAGTCTACCACCGGCCAGACACGTTCCAAGACACCTGCCCCTGCTCCATCCAATGCTCTGTCTCCCTCCCGGTCAAGGGCCCGAACTCGTAGTCAATCTTGTGGCCTGTCCTGAACTCCGGCCATCCCTGCTGCAACTACACCCCAGGTGCAGTCACATGATCGCAGAAAGACCATCACTATCAAGAAAACACCTGCCCCTGCCCCTGCCCCTGCCCCTGCCCCTGCCCCTGCCCCTGTGCCAGCTCGTAAGTCACCAAAACTTTTGATGGCAGGCTGACCTAATTTTTTACTTAGCAGTTCGGTCTTCCAGCTTCGCAGTGCCTCGTGCAGCACTCGATGTTCCCATGCTGGATCCCCATTCCATGGCAATCGTGATTCGGGATGGTGCAGCTCGCATCACTATTCTTGAGGCTCAGGTGCAGGAGCAGGACACTAAGATTGATACCCTGCAATGCCTCCATGAGAGCCTCCGGCACATGGTGGTTGACCGGCACCCTTCATTTTCACTTCCAGACACACTGGCTGATGCAAAAATCTTGCTTGATCAAAGCAGTCCCCCCGTCCATTTCATCCCTCCCCTCTGCACTTTCCAACCTCATTGATTTGGACATTTCAGTGATGGAACCCACACCCTTGACGCTTGAGGATGGATCTGCTATGGTAGGTCCTATGGTTGAGCCCACCCAAGTTCAGCCTAAGGGTCCACAATCCTCCGGCAAAATTGTGCTCCCAGATGAACCAGGCAACCTCTTGCCAGAATCCTCCAGCGATATGTTGGTCCCTAATGAACCAGGTAACCTCCTGCCAGAATATGCTTCTTCTGATGAGGAGATGGATGTTGAGGGAAATGTTGATCTTCCTGGTGAGGAGGTTGAAATGGCTACATAATTGCTCAGTGATAGATGTATATAAATCTTTTTCAATGCATGTTACCTATGCCACAATTGAATGATTGAATGATCAGTCCTGATATCCAGAACTCGAAACTGTAGATTGAGGTAGATATCACCCGAATCCCAAACACCCAAATGTCAAATTTTCAGTGCCAAACCCCAAGTGCCGGGTGCTGGGTGCCGAGTCCTGAAACCTGGAACTCTGGATTTGACATTTGAGATGAATGACATTTGTCAGACATGTTTAAATCAACCTACATATATCTATAAACATTTTACTAACCCCCGAACCTCAAAATTGTGGGCTGCCGGGTCTCGGGGTTCGGGGGTCCTGGAACTCGGAACTTGGAACTTGGGAAATTTGGGGAGATCAATAAAATTTGATTTATGTACAATCAAGGTGATTGACAAACACATTGACTTACACGTATGGAATATATTTGTGTTGTCTCACATACCAAGTTCTGAGTTCCGGGACCCCCGAACCCCGAGACCCAGCAGTCCACAATTTCGGGGTTCGGGGGTTGCTAAAATGTGTAAACCCGGAACTCAGGATTTGACATTTAAAATGAACGACATTTTTCAGACATGTTTAACGTAACCTACGTATATCTATAAACATTTTACTAACCCCTGAACCCCAAAATTGTGGACTGCCGGGTTTTGGGGTTTGGGGGTCCCTGGAACTCAGAACTTGGGAACTTTGGGGAGATAAATAAAATTTGATTTACAATTGAGGTGATTGACAAATACATTGATGTACCCATGTTTGAAATATATTTGTGGTCTCACATACCGAGTTCCAAGTTCTGGGACCCCCAAAACCTGAGACCTGGCAGTCCACAATTTTGGGGTTTGGGGGTTGGTAAAATGTGTATGGATATATGAAAGGTCGATTTAAACATTTTTGAAAGATCTCACATATCAAAAGTGAAGTCCCGAGTTTCAAATTCTGGGCTTTGGGACTCGGCACTCCCGAAACCCGGAAATCGAAACTTGGGACTTGACATTTGATATGCGAGATCTTTCAAAAATGTTTAAATCGATCTTTCATATATCCATACACATTTTACCAACCCCCAAACCCCAAAATTGTGGACTGCCAGGTCTTGGGTTTCGGGGTTCGGGGGTCCTGGAACTTGGAACTTGGAACTTGGTATGTGAGACCACAAATATATTTCAAACATGGGTACGTCAATGTATTTGTCAATCACCTCAATTGTAAATCAAATTTTATTGATCTCCCCGAAGTTCCCAAGTTCCGAGTTTCAAGTTCTGGGACCCCCAAACCCCGAGACCCAGCAGTCCACAATTTTGGGGTTCGGGGGTTGGTAAATCTTGGTTTGGAGTTTGGCACTGAAAATTTGACATTTATATTTTTGTGAGTGTTGTGCTTCTGGTGTCCGTGCTTAGAAATAGGATATGTTGCACACCAGGGTTCAGGTGTGGGGTTTCTCCATTTCAGTCCTCAATTATTGGTCAATGTCTCACATGGTCAATTCATGTTTTTGTGCTTAGGGGTTCAGATTCGGTGGTTGATGGTAGGTATATGCACTCATAGTGTACATGTATCCTATGTGTTTGATTCACTGGTGGCTACATCAGTTGTATGTCTTGATGAAACATATCTAGGCTCACCCATATATGTACCCATCTATGTATAATTCCCCCACATCTGCCCACCCATCTATGTATTATCCCCCATGTCAGCCCACCCATCTATATAATTATATCTCACCTCGGCCCACCTGTCTATGTAATAAATATTTTATCACACCCTCGGCCCACCTGTATATGTAATACACCCCACGTCAGCCCACCCATCTATGTAATATTCCCCTACCTCGGCCCATCCATATATGTAATAAACCCCCATCGGCCTGCCCGTCTATATAACAATATTTGCCTTACATCTCTCTTCAGCCCAGCTGTCTATAATATCCTACTCTACATATTACCCAGATGGGCCCACCCATCTCCATGAATGATCATATTCCCCTGGCCCATTCATCAACATTAAGAATATATATGTCATTGGCATACATGGGCCCACCCATCTCCATCAGAAATAATATGTGTCCCGGCCCATCCGTTATCATCGAGAATATACACAACATGGGCCCATAATCCGCTGGCCTGTCTCATACGGGATATTATGTAGGTCGGGTGGCCCGTATAATATGGAATTTGTCACTGAAGGGGCTCGAGTGACTGCCATATCAACTAAAAACATTGATAACATGAGGGTCGACATAAGGAGGCATGCATACTGCGCATTGTCTTGACCTAATCCCCCATATGTAATGAAATCGGTGAAATGTGGGGACCAGTGGTCATCCTGTATATGCATGCACCACATGTTTGCTGAGCTGGTGTTCGACAAGGTCACATCACAAGCACCGCCGCAATTAGTGTATGGTGTCGCCGGCAACTTTATATTTGTAAATTTGCAGAGCCGGTATTCAATAATGAAACAGTGTCTGTGGCCAAAGCAGAGTAGCAGCTGTTTAACACCATTTCCTCAACATACCTCATGAGGTGATTCCTCACCACATATTCATGCATGGGTCAGCTGCTGCTGGTAATCCATACCCTGCAGTATTATATTCGGCAGTGCCACAGGTCTTGTACTATGTCACTGGTATGTATGCATAGTGAGGTATTCTATGGAAGCATGGAGCAATCACCCTGCAACATTGTTTTCGGCAGTGCCACAGCTGCCCCCCCCTGTGGTGATCCCAAAATATGCAAAACTGTCAGCGAGTGTATATGGGCCCATCCCTCACCATCAAGTAGAACCTACCAGACATAGCCTATGCATCATAATACCACTATCCTACATATTTTTGTATTTCATAATGTATATACAGTAGGCCCACCCTTGAGCCTCAGTTATTTTTAGCCTCTGGCCCACCTGCTATACTGGGGTACAATCCCATATGTGGACCCATCCCTTAGGTCAGGCTTACATTATAATGTGGGCCCATGGTGGATTGGCCTGAGTCTTAGGGAGCATTGTCAACATGGGCTGTCCTATAAGTAGGGAGATATGTCACTGCATTATGTATCTTCGAAGCTCAACCTTATTAAGGATATTAGCCACCTGCGCTCATAGGGCTTATATTGCAATATTTACACTATGGTCTGGCATAACAAACCTCTGCAAATGAATTTTGAAGTCATTTCTTCATCTATCTCCCTCATAGCTGAGTAGCATCATAATTTCTCTGTAGCCACTGTAATCACTTGGACCAACACATAACACCAGCCACCACTACATGACCTAAATCACAGACATTTGTGTGAAAATTGTTGTCTGAAGTTACTGAGTGCAGGTATTTGTAAATGTGCTCTAGAGTCTCCAGATGTTAAGAAAGGTGTGCCTGTACCTCACCTCTGTTGTTCTGAAAGTCCTGTACCATCTTGATGCACAGGGGTTTGAGTTCACTAGAAATCACAATAAGGTTTGATTGAGCATTATTGATATCATAATTATGAAGAGTACAATCATAAATTAGTCGAATCAGTGATTGTATTGATGAAAAGTGCACATCACATTGTCCACATGCGCTGGTGGAGAGGGTGGAGTACTAAGTGATGGTATAAGTCTATAGTAAGTGTGAGGTTTGACAATTCAATCAACAGTAGGCTCAGTATAATTTGTAAAAGTACATACTTCTTTGAATTAGTGTTATCCCTCTTGAGCCCAATCTCCTTCTTGTTCTTGTATTCATCAATCCCTCCCTGGTTCCCCCTATGTTGTTCATGCATAGTATTATAATTAGAGTTCAAAACCAACAGAGTTATGTGAATTGGTTAATGCAACACTTCATAAGGGCAAATGCTTTTTTTTGTGAGCTTCCAAAACCTGAGCCAGTCAAGCTCGACATCAACTACCTGGAACACTATGGAATGTCATCTATGAGGCCTATTGTTGCACATGGTAAGTCTGACATTTCACATTACTTGTCAGTTGCCTCATGATTTCCAAAAGATGCTAAAGCACGTATGGTAAACTTCATATATCCACACAAAGATAGTACAATCCAGTAGTTTATTATCAACATCAACAACCCAAATGTAATCTAATGTGTACTTGATCTTCCATTTTCCCAGGGTGGTCTACCATTCTTCTTCAAGTGAGTACTATAATGACCTTCCTTCTATTTGCCCCTCTAAAATGATGTTCCTTAGTACTCTTGATCATGGTATGGTCTATGCATAGAATCTAACTTTAAAATAAAAACTAAGCTCAGTTCATCCTGATAACTTTCTTATAAAGGCATGGGCTTTACTTCATCACACTGGGTTCCTCACATATTTTCACCATGACTTCAATGGGGAAAATGCTTATATTAAGGTGAACTATAATGATATAGAATTTGGGTATCTAGCTTTTCCAAAGGATGGGCTCACAATTCCTAGGACCACCCTCATTACAAATTTTGCACTTTTTGCTGATCTTGAGAAGAACCACAAAAGATAGAATTCAAATGCTATTTTGAAGTAGTCACTGTCTTGCCAGGAGATTTTCTGTAAGTGATCTGCCTGTATATTGTATTAGTTGAAGCTTATATTAGCAAGTATGCAATCACCTAAACCGTTTCACACAGTCTATACACCTATGGCCATTTCTACAACCACCAGTACATGCATTTGACCAAGCTTTCTTGATATGTGGACCACACAAAGGGCACAACCTTCACTAACCCAATTTATGAGCATTCTATCACCACTTTTGAGAGAATAATTATCAACCTAGCATACCTACCTAGCTGTGTTAGTAAGTAATAGATTATTGCAATACATCAACAGCATGTAATAACATACCAAGCCTTATACTGTAGGTCTCTCAATACTCTATGTATCATGGTCCTGGAGTCCAAAAAGTACATTGCTGCTGGCATTGGCAAGAAAAAGGCAAAGATATTGGATACCACTAAGTAAGCTGTTGCAATATCAGAAGCTATTGTCAAATATTTCTGGTTAGATCTTGACACCTCAATCAAAATATATTGTACTAGAAATCAAATGCATCCAGGCAATCCTATTAATCAAGCAGAACTATTATCATACCTACTATCTTGCCTAGAAAATTTTACCATGCCAGTGCCCTAGTACTAAGGACTTGTAATTCATAATATCTACTATGGCCAAGCTTAGATCCTTTACCTAGTACTTGTATTTAGAACAAAAGTGATTAATTCTTGCTGGTACAACATCATAATTATGTAGCTATTGTCAATAATTATTTTCTGCAAAGATATCTATATCTTAATTAAGGCATTCTATGGGCCCAAAAGTGAGGAAACTCATCTGTAGCTATATATTTTAAGGACTCACCCACTTCAAACATGTTCTGTTTGGCACTTCTCTAAAATCTGTCCTTAAAGTAAGTCATATCCTTAAAGTTGTTTATTCTTAAAGTAGGTGCATTCCTAAAGTGGTTGTGTCCTTAAAGTTTGTCCTTAAAGTGTTTGACTGACAAATGAACTACAACTTGTGAATTACAGGCTTGGTCATCAGGTTGGCTTATCCTAGACTATTGGACATCAAACAAATATAATGAGTACAACTGCTTAATTATATTGAAAAATGTAGCCTTTGTTCTAAAGAAGTGCTTTCCTCTTAATTATATCAAATTCTTTCTGTCGGACCAAGCTCAAACTTCACTTTGCTGGTAATCCAAACATACTATATGATATTTGTGCATACACTGGTAGTGTATCTCAAATTTTTTTCCTTGTCTCTCCTCCATGGCTAGACAGGGCTTTCCAACTCTTCAGCTGCAGCCATTAATGAGGACTAATTATTATGGTGAAATCAATTTATGCTACTGTTATGGATAAATCTGAAGAACTATTTCCCTGCCAAGTTCTTTTGATAATGGTTTTATCACTAGGCTCAACATTCACAGGCGGTTTTGCTCTCTTATCATCTGATGTAATTTTGAAAGTATGCTACTCTCATCTAAATAAATCTCTACTGGCAGCTCATAGTGCTACTACATTCCTAAAATTTTACTGCTCCACTAGCTTTCAGTATCAATCTGCTATGCCAAGACTCCTTAGTGGATCATCCACAGAAAATCCTCCTTTCTATAACTGAGAAGAGGAATTTGCTAATCTATTTTTAATCCTTTACCTGACCTAGATCAGATTAAGTCCAATAAAGTACCACCTACTCTCTTTGTGTCATCACCTCCTCTGTTACCACTGCCCTCTTGTTTAGCTGGACTAGCTTAGCTAACTCTGACACAAAAAGCAACAAACTCTAAAGATCATATTTTGACAGTACTCCTTGGATCTGCTTTGTATAACACTGAATCTATGGCTAAAGCCATCTAAAGGCTGAAGGATAACATTAGGAGAATGACAGCAGAGATACAGGTTTTGTACAAGCTAATCACATGTGGTAATAGTTCAAAGGATATGGATATGGCAAATATATAATATAATAACTGCATTTCATGAAACTACCTATATCTAATTGTATCCATTTACTTATTTATTTGTCTATATTTTTTACTTATACTACTTCCAACTTACTAGTACTGCATGCAGTCTCCCTTCACCACAAGTGTGGCCCATGTAGATAAGGTTTGGTAGGCCCTAGGGCTCTCTATCCTCCCTAACTTAGAATCTTAAAAACATAGAGGTAAGAGTTACTGGAGATATATATCCTAATATAAAAGTATATCCAAATTCTCTAGCTCAGCAGGATGTTGCAGTTAATCATTCTACTCATTTCCTTGTCCTATCTCCTTACAGAACTTCCTCTGGATCCATCAAACAGACAGAAAATAGACAAAAAAGAAAGAATTATTGACAAACTTTCAGTCTATATAAATTATACTTCCTAGATGGAGATGGAGATGGCCTTGTGGATTAGAAAGAAACACAGGAAGAAAGAAAGATATTATAGTGGTCGGTTGAAAGAATAAGCTATAGAATGCATTAGTGCATGTGTAGTGAGGTTAATAAGTGTAAAGTAGATATATTAGTAGTAATATGATACTAGCATTAACAGCCTAGATGACTGTAGGGAGTGAGACTATAGAAGATACAATAAATACTAACAGTATGTTCTATTATAAGTCAGGACTTCTCATTCAATTCTGGCTATTAAAGGAACCTCTTTTGGAGACTTATAAATTATCATATCAAAAAGATCCTTTAAGAATCCCTTGCTCTGGAGCTTGAATATAGCTGGCTTCTAGAAATAATTAGGATATTAGCTTAGTTAAAGGAGACTTGATAACATAACAAGAGGCTGAAATTCTTCTACCTATATATAATGTTTAGCTTCAAAAAAATTCTTATCTTAGACTTCATTGAGTCTAGAAGCTATTGTCCTTGCTGAAACAATTGGAAAGGATGCTGTTATTGTAGTAGGTATTGGCAGGCAACTGCTAGTAGGCATCAGCAGCTTTGGAGGAAGTGTAGGGGTATAAAGTTGGAGGTCATCTTGAGTACCAAAATTAGCATTTATATCTATTGAAGTAGTGTGTTTATTAGTATCACTGTCATCAGATAGTACAGGTGGAGAATTAGATGGTGAAGCACAAAATCTGAGAGAATCTGCAAAACTGGTAACTAGGTTTTGGTCATCCATTTCAATATCAGAATTATCTGATTCATCATGATCTGAAGGGTTAGCTGTTGTGACATCAAATAACTTTAAGCACTTCTGGGTACCAAGTAACAAAACTGGTTGTTGTTTTTTGGTGGCAATTGCTGTCTTTGAGCTTATTTGCCTGTTATCCAAGTAGAAATTAAGTGAATATTGATTAATGTATTGTTCATTTAGCTTGCTATTATATCTTTCATGTTTTGAGGAGAAATTATCTTGAGAAACAGTGGCCCCAGGTGTGTAAGGTATAACCCACTTCATTTTCATGTGTTATACTTCAGCTGCAAGCTTTCTTTTCTTCTTCTGAGACTCTGCTGGAGCATCTCTAATATTAGACATAGAATAATTCTGCTTAAAAAATTTGTAGGTCAAAAAGAGCATCATAAAAGAATTCTATGAATACCTAGGATTCCAAGTCACTATTTCTAAAGTGTCCTCTACATATTACCCCCACTCAGCTGGAGTAGAGTTGAGAGACATATTTTCATAGATTTTTTTATCTGTATCACCTTTGCCTGGTTCAAGGCATTCATCTGAACTCATATGATTATGAACATACTCAGTACTCTCTGGATGGAAAAACAAGCATCCTCTATATCGAAAGGGATAGCAATGTTTTCCTTCCCAGACTAAGACCCTCCAACTGTTAATTTTTTTTGGAGCTTTTGAACAACTTCTGGTATGTTTCATCCCTACTCTCTTAATTCTGTCTCATCATGTTTGATCTTTTCCTTGTGATGTAAATACACCCATATTGCCATAATTGATGAAAGCTGTAGTTAGAGTAGTTAATATTGATGAGAGGGTGAATATTAAACAAAATACTATTGTTGATCCCTCATATTACTTCAGAATCATATGATTATTATGGTCTGGTGGGTGGAGATTTTGTTATTGCTGTGACAAAGCTACAGTCTATCTTATCTGATTTCTATATTTTCAACAGACCTTTGCTTTTATTGGTGATGATCTACTCATTCAAGTTGTTTACATTCTGTCCTACAGTATCTATGGACCTTGCCCATTAATGTCTCCTCCTACTGGTGGCCACTCTGTCATACTTCCTAGCATTGCAGTTAAGCTCGTGAGTTATTTTATGAACTTTAAAATTGCCTGCAAGACAATCTGAAGGTGAAAATACTCCAGACCCTCTAGTGTACTAGATAAAGAAAATGTCCTTCACTATATTTTATATTGAGTGCCAAAGACAAGGTACCTACCATCCTTGATTCTAGAACATCCTTCATACCATTATATTACACTTGTTATTCCATAAGGATTATACTATAACATTAGCTTAGGTCAGAAATAGGAGTTTGAGGCTTTAAGGTGAATGTGTGAGGAATGAGGAGATGATGTTTTAAACATTCAAACACACAAGTTACAATCAAGCAATGAATCACTTTTTCTAAATACTAAGGCTATGTATGGACAGCGTGTATATAATATTCAATATTCAACATTTGCTGTCATGTGACAATATTGTGTTCATCTGGATGATTCCAGATTCCTTGTCTACTAGTTTCTATCATGATTATCAGCCTCAATGGAGGGCATGGGGGGAAATATATGGATAAATCTACTTGAAAGATT